GTGCAAATGTGCTACATTAACATGCGCTCTTCCCTAAAATATACTTATTAGGTATCTTAGTAGTACAATATGTTTTATCTTAGCGTTTTACTACTAAAAACACGTGTTCATTATTTTTTCTTACATTATGAACCTCAGCTCTCTGAATGGAATTGAAGAAGAAAATAAGAGTCAATAAATGTGGCACGATATTCTGTAGGATATGATTTTTTTCTAGCATTCACTTATATGTTTGTATGCAATGAAAACATCTGTTTTCAATGCACATTGGGGATACAATTAACTTACCTTTTCTGTATTATTTAGTAAGTAATTGACAATGCTTCAGTTCTCCTTACTAGGTACTGACACATTCAGTTTTCATTTCTTAATTCAAGACATTATTAGTTCGCGGTTCTCATCTATTTTTTTAGTTATATGATACTGTAATAATAAGAAATCGCTGTTAATAGCCACAAAATCCTTTGAAGCTTCAAGGTTTAGTGACTGTAATTGGTAGGGGAGGCCAGAGATGGTTGACGCAAAGGGTTGGTTTGTCCTTAGGTTCATACACCGACCATACAGCTCCCGTAAGACCCAGCTATTTTGATTATTGAAGGTACTGTACATAAATACTTAACATTTCAAAAATGTTCTCAAAAATGCCTCACCAACTGGCACCAACCAGACCAAATCTCCTCTACTATTCATGATGATTTTTCAAATGAGTGATTTGTGACAACTGTTCTGAATTTTTATCAGATGTTCTAAATATAGAATCTTTTGTAAAATAAACTGCTTTAATTTTTCAAGGACATAATGAGCATAGTAATTCTGAAGTTCAAAACCGACGTATAGCAGTGTCTCCCATTACATCGTATACATGAACTTCTTACTCAAGATTGATTGCATTCAGCAACAGCAATCATGATTACTGATATCTCCGGTTTTATAACTCTTGCATCAGTATATGACCTGCCAAACATAAAACATTGTAATCGGTGTAAACGATATTCTTCAGATGGGTTAGTTCAAAATGCCCTTGATGGAGAATACAATTAAATGAACCACACCAAGAAAACTACATATATTAATTTGCAAATATGAAAAATGTTACTATGACGTCATTATAACTTTATTATGCTTTTATTACAGAATTAGATTACAATTTGTGAAAGAAACTGCATTCAGTTTTGGAAATAAAGGAATTTTTCTCATGAAATTAATTAAAAAAGAAATTATATTATATCGCTTTATTTTCAGTAAAGGTCACAAGAAATTGAAGATTCTTTCAAGAAATGAAGGACTAATTAAAATCCGTTTTGATGAAACGAAAATAGTTCTTAATGATACAAATAGTATAATCACATTTACCCCGTGTGTCATTCGCTATTTTTAGACAGCCTTACTGACTTTCATTTTATTATAATTGAAGCATACAAATCACAAATGTAGCTGACACGATCAGGCGATGTTGTTTGTGGTATTTAGTTTCATCTGACATTTGATCAGTCATTTGAGCATCGACTCTCTTTTAGCAGAAGTGCTAAAAATTGAAGTGTTGCACGCATTGTATATATTAAAAGTAACAGCGTTTACTAAGATCTGTCTAAATAAGTTGTTTTTTTTATTATTGCTTCTGTATGATTGTGTGTGACAGCCATAACTTGGCCAGATTAGAGGTTTTTGAACTTTCACTTATAGTTCTACGTTCTTAAATAGTAGAAGGTCTGTTAATCCCTATCCGAAGATATTTAAGTTTGGTGAACATGGTGAGGAGATACTAGCAGTTTTGTGCGGAACAAAGTGCAAAACTTGTAAAAAATTACCAATTTAGCGTAAAGTTCGGGAGGTGAAACAATGTACAAGTACGGAATGTTGGGTGTTAGGCCTATTATCCTAGTTCTCACCATACACGTTACATTGTTCAAAAGATTTACATGCCTCTTACATAGTGGGAAAAAATACACTACATTTTAAATGAAACGTGCTAAAAATCGTAAAATTCTTCAGTTCTGTTTGTATACGGAAACAGGGCGGGAACAGTGGGATCGGTCATGAGGCATTTCAGGTCATGAGGCAGACAGTTGAGAAAAAAATCAGTGTGTGTCGCATCCCATTGCTTTTATTTCCTTTCAATATGGAGATCGTTTTAAAAATTACTTTTATTGAAATGTTAAAACCGTTTTTCAACCATTCTAGTCAAACGAAACAAGCTAGTTTGATACTTCGTCTATTTGTCTATTCTTTTGTTGGTTACGCATTCCGGAGTAAATGCTACACAACAGTGCGATGAAGAACAGATCTTAGATTTTTTGACGCGAGTTTTACTGTTTACAAAAGCAACAGTATTATGTTCAGTTTTTAAAGTCAAATGGGACTTCATTCTCCGATATTTCGGGTATTCGTCAGTATACAGTATTTGTATGCTAATCGAACCGGGCGAGGCTCTGTTTTTAAGTTAACCATTCAGCATTTCGTATGACTCAAGATGTGTTTGTTATTCATTCACGAGGAAACACGTTGTTCCATTTCTTCAAATTTTGCTTGATATCGTTAGAAAGGTCATATTTAATGATTATTTTAGAGATGAGGTCTTCTGCTCAGGATACTACTAAATTACAAGGTTACCCATTTTACAACGCAATGAGGAAACATTAAGGGGTATAATATAAGTACTCCAATCGCTTGTGGTAATTCATATTCAGACACGCCTCAGAAGTTGGAGTACTTTTAAACATCAATCATAAGGTCACGCATATTCTTATCGGATCTTACCCTTGAAGTGATGCACCTCCTAAAAGTGACTTTCTAGTTTCTTGTTGCCTACGCCTTAGATGTCACTGCAATAGTGTCGTAAGTACACAATGAATGGCGACTCATTAAATTGAATAATTTGTGGTTTCGAAATATCAAATTCAGGGACAATGGATTTATAGGCAACATTGATACAATTCAAAGCTGAGAACTGGCAAACAGTCTTCTTTTCAATAAAGGTGTGACCACGATGCAAGATAACGTGTTGATGGCTATTCTGAGTTGTATATTTGAGGTGAACCACCGACCAATATTATACTTGCGGTTTTCGTCTTATAAATGATAAACCCAACTCCATTTATCGATATGGAACAATTCTCTTTGACGTACAGATGAATCAACTTCACGTTCAACAATAAATAAAAAATATAGTAACCTAAAAGACAGAGTTTAATTGGCGTGAATTTATTAAATGTCTGAATGAATCGTTCTAATCTATACTATTTCTTTAAAAAGAGAGTTTCCTTAACGTTTACAATCAAAGTGGTATATCACTGTTATTATCTGCGAATGTTGAATGAGTGAAGCAACCAGTATACATTTCAGTACCCCCAGTAATACCATATATTATTATCTACTCCTTTTCAAATATAGAAATATATCTAGAAATTTTTTGTTATAATTTTTAAATTTATATATATATATATATATATATATATATATATATATATGTAATAAAGGAATTTATAAATGTAATAATTCAAAGATATAATGATTAATAATTAAAATAAGAAAATATGATTTATATGATATCGTCTTAAATTGCAAACGTTGTTAAACTCATTAGTAAAATATATATTAATTATTCAAGCAGTTGTATTTTGTTTATGGCCAACTTCTCTCAGTGGATATTGGAGGGAATTATCATAATTGTTATATATTATTTTATATTATTATGCCCTAATATTTTGTTCATAATAAAATTATTTCAATTCGATTATAATATTTTTAAAATCTTTCCATTGCTGAAAACAATGGTCTCCGAAAACAGAATGACATTTTCATCACAACTTTTTACTTAATCCTAATTATTTAATATGATGAGACGTGTTTAGAAAAAATGAGCAATAAGAGCCCCTTCAGAGTTTAAAAGAAATGTAACAATTTGTCGATGATGTTCATGAAATCACCTATTATGAAATAACCTAATTTGAACAACGGCTAAATGGCACAAATTGAGATGATAAAACAATTTTTGAAATGCTTATTATTCAATGAAAATGACCCCAGGTCAAAGAGATTACGTTTCGTTCGATCTTGACAACTTTGGGCGCAGTGCTGTTGTGCGCAATGTCCCTGACAACTTTTGCCCCCAGACACTTGTCCATGACTGAGTCACCGTGTACACTACATCATTGCTTATCCTTCTTTTGCAGTTTTCTCAGGGGATGAGCGAAGTATTTTGACCCACTGGTCTGATCTACATTCTTCTGCAAAGCTCTTGCGCTGACTAGCAATTACTTTTACGACGATATTAAAAATAAAAGCATGTGCATGGTGATAGCCTCAATGTTTGGGTAGTGTACGAAAGATAACTATCCCCTTGGCCAAAAAAAAAAATTCAAAAAAGATGAATTTCGATCAATATATTGTAAATCAAAACAGTCGAACGAATCAAAGTATGAGCTACAGTATTTTATCGAAAGAATTGGAAATAAATAGAAATTAATAGTGATTATTAGATTGTATCATAGTGTTGTATCATATCTCTGTTGTTATTAGTATTATTATTATTTTGTTGCATAATCATAATATTAACATTTAATTGGTATTCTGCTCATCAAATATATTTTATTTATTCACATAGATTTATCACCAAGTATTTAGAATATCGATAATTGTTAATACGAGTGTAATCTTGGGGCTATTTAGAGCTTGTAGTATATTTGTTTAACAAATCAGTATTGTAGTGTAGGAGTTATTATTTAATTTATTATCATTACTGTTCATATTTTGACAATGTTGAGTGTGTGAGGGTTAAATGAATTGAATGCATGACTCAACTAACCTTTCACGAATTTGGTGTTTATGACTTCAAATTTATTTCTTTTTTTCAAAACATGCATATACCGTTTGCACTCTTGTTTGGATGCATTATTTTTAATTATTTTTATCGCATTGTATTTATAATTATTATATTTTTAGTATTACTACTAACATGAATCGAGGTAAAATTGAAATCAGGTTAAATATAATTCTTCCCCATGGCCAAAGCGTTTAGCCTCTACACGAGGGGCGTCGCCTCTGGTAGCGCATTGAAATCCATCAGGGGCTCGAATTTTACTAGTGACGTCGCGAGGCCGCGGTCTTCGTTGCTGCGGCGGCGCCCTGCCTGCCATTGGCCCTGGACGCCGCTTCTCCGCCGCCGCCGCCGCCGCCGCCGCCAACTCCACCACCACCACCGCTCCGCCTCCGCCGTTGTCCCCGCCGCCGCCGCCGCCGCCGTCGGCGTCGCTGCCGCGGTTGCTTCTCGCCGGTCGCGCGCGCTTGCTTCAGTTTTGTTCGCGGTGCTCTCCGACTACGACCCCCGCAGCGGCCGCCGCTTGAGTCAGCCGACGCACTCCGGACGACGATGTGGTGACAGGTGAGCCGGCCGGCGCGGCGTCCAGGCGTCACGGCGCTACGGCGCTCTTCGGACGCGTTTTACTGTGTGTTGCACGAAAACCCACTGCACCGTAAGAAGGAATGTGCCCCCTCTGTAACCGGAACCTGGAGGGTTCTTTTCTGTGCCTTCGATGTAAAATCTCAGGCCTTGAACAGAAATGATGTTCAATCACATTTTGTACTACATTCCCAATATCCTCTCCGTCATTTGGGAATATATTGGTGATCACATTTTCATAGAACGTATTTTGTGTGCAGGTCGTTCATTTGTATTTGCTGGGATGTTTAATGATGTTTTTGTAGGGCTTTTTTGGTATTTTTATTTCGGTGTGAGTAGGGTTGTCAATTTTGGAAGACTTCGAAGTTTTCTATTGACAGGAAAACTCGAGGGACTCAAAGTCTAGATGTTATCTTCTCTTCGAAGAATGGACATCTTAGTAGTTTTTTGAGTTTCGATTTTGCGTATTGAAGAAGCGCCTTGGAACTTTGACCTGAATATCATTCACATTTTTGAAAATTTTGAATTCCTTTGCAACATACTCTGCAAAGATTTGGTAACGAGTTGTTTTCAATAAAAAATGTCTTTAAGTAGTATATGGCTTGTTGCGGGTGAAATTGATATTCTACTTTTCGTCGTATTGTAGTACAGGTCGGAAAAGTATTAGAACCAACTCAGTAATACGATTTTGATTTTTAGACCATAAATACCGGGTGTGAGTTTCTTTTGAGCAGTTACTTCTCTCACATCTGGATTACATTCTATTAGTGGTGTTCCAAAAATGCTTAAGATTGGTGGTGGTGTCGAGAAGATACAATCGATTTTTTACTCGAAAATTAAGATATGTATGTGCATGAATAGAAGGAAGTACTTGTCACGAATAACTCTCGAAGCTTAAAAGCTTTTAAGCTATAACTTAGTAAATACGCCAGGAGTAATATCTAGTGATTCCGTTTTGGAGATAATCAATCTATTTTACATTTTGGGGCACTTTTTTACATAAAGACTTTGCGACATTTTCAAAATTTTCTAGAAAATGGCTGGACACTTTTTCTTTATTTTTATTGCTCAAATAGAAGAAAGTGCAACTGTGAATATAGTTTTGATCTAATTTTCACGAAAATCTCTGAAATTAAAAAAAAATAAAAATTTAAAATTCATTTTCTAATTTTTCTACATCTCCAAAATTAATGACAGATATTTCTTTTTAAATACCATCTATACCTCAATTGTTGATCTTTGCATCTGTCATGCACTTTAAAAGAATAAGTAGTTGTTGAGTGCAACACTAAGAGGAGGAAAAGTTTCGGTTTTCGTGCATTCGCTCAAAGTTTTATACGACACTACCATTCTAATATATTACGTTCTATTTGGAAGAGCGTAATTTTGCTAAAGACGATAGTTATTTTTTTATTATTCACTCTTTAACACTCAATACACGAGTTATGGTCTCTCGTTTTAAGGGCTAGAAATAGACCTTCACGTTTCGTGTTGAGAGCCGTGTTTCAGTTTTAAAGGCGGATGTGGATTTTCTCGTTTTATGCCATACTTTTGCTTAGAATCTGAGGAGAACTCATGACCGCGATTCCAGTGTACAGCATTTACCTACAGAAAAGGTGTTTTTTCGTGGCGTTACGTTTTGATTCCTCCAGAGCGTGTATATCCCGACGTACTTTGATATCTATTTCTAACTTACGCTTTCAAGAGCGAAGTCTTATCAGTACACCACCGATTTAATTCACTTAAGTTTCCATGTAGTATTGTAATGTGTAATTAAATATTAACCTAAAACAACAAGTATTGTCTCAGTGGTGCCTGATTTAAAATGCGATTAGTTGTTAATATTAAATTAACGAATTACTTCATAAGGTTACGTGTTTGGAGTTGTTGCAAAGTCATATCTGTGCCATTTGTCGTAATTATATTCATTTGTACCAGATCTTCCTCTTCATGAGTCATTGTTTTTTATCTAGTCGACGTTTATAAGTATTTTGTGTCCGACACAATGGTCATTCACTACATTGTCGCTTGTTGCGAAATACTTTGTCAAAACATTTAAGTATACATTATGTATTATTCCATATCTTGTAGGCATTTTTGAATTTGTCAACCGTGACTATCATCAGAAGGTTTGTTCTGACATGCAATTTTTCTTTATTAGTTATAACGGTTATGTAGTAATGATTATTTTACACCATATAGTTCCCAAAATTAACGTAGTTCGATAATTTCCGAAAAGATATTACCAAATTTATCTTGAGGCAATTAAATTGATGTATATACGGATCTTACAGTTCTTCTATACTAAGTATTAGAAGAGGAGGAAGTTCTTGGAAATTACAGATTTTGAATAATAAGTTCGCAATCAAATATGATCCATTAAATAGTATTTTGATCCCTTGAAGCTCAAGATGAATTAAGATCTATAGGCCGAGAAAGGAGAAGACATTTGACCCCAATCTATCCCCGTCTCATTTTTATCACGTTTGTTGTGATGTAGAGGTAGGTTTTATTCTTTAATTAATCATGAACCTAAGGAATTTGTGAAATATCAGATCCCACTGTCAGGCGTTTCGAATTATGGGACGTGTATCCTAGAATTTCAAAGAAATTATGAAGGCAGCCAAGGATCTTAGGAAGTTACCAGGTTAAAATACTGAATAATTACTTGTTTACATCAAAAAAACATAATGTTAGGGTTGAATAATCGACTAATTTGAAATTAAGAGTTTATAATTTAATAGAATTATTGTTTTATATTCAGACAAAATATTACCAAAGTTTGATTGCCTACCAAAAGAAACTTGAACTAAGTCTTCAAATGATTATAGTAAATGTTATGGAAAGTTGAAATACTAAATAGTTTTCATTAATCAATTTCATGAGGTGATTTTTGATTACCTGTTCAATTAAGTAAATATTTTCATTAAAAATGTAAAAACGAAAAAACAGCGTGTACATAGAGCAAAACACATTTCAATTACGCTTTATTATTATGTTTGCGAAAATATATACAAAATTTCTATTACCTAGAAATTCAATTAAGGATATCAAAGAAACTGAAATAGAAGGGAAGTGGTGATATGCATAATGCAAATGAAATGAATTATCGATTGAATTTTGTATTTATTGCAATTATTTAATTTTTTAGAATGCAACTACCTCTCGAAAGTTTTAAGTGTTCATGGTGACTAAAAACAGCTTTTAATTTTTAGGAGCAATCTTTCACATTTAACAATCTTCGTGTGATTTACATCGGAAACAGTTGCACACTGACAAAACTATACAAATAAGTGAAATACAAATAAATAAAATAGTGAACAAGAAGCAACAAATCAAAAAACGAAGATCAATTTATTTCATTTAAGGGCTTGCAATCTCTCAAGAATTCTATTTTATTTTTTTCTCGGTGATGAAATGAAACTGATAATAATAAGAAAATAATTTCGGGTCTAAATACCAAGTTGTTTGCCAGCTTTATTTGAGTTAATGCGTTGCAGTACACACATAACTTCAACACAAAAAAACAGTGAAGAAGGACAAAGAAAATGTATGATTTGTGGATTGAAGCAGAATTTGTATGACCTGTGCATTAGTTGAAAATGAAATAAGGTCCTTCATATGCCGTAGATGCTGAATATATAAAAACATCTCATTAAATGATTTTGTAAGAGTAAATAATAGTCCAGTCGTATGAAAGAAAAAGTATAAGAAAAAAAGTAACGGTAACAAAATGGTCGAGCCGTACGCCCTTCAACTTCGCAAGTGGCGCCCTCCCCCCCCCCTCGCCGGCCAGCAGCGAGTTGTTGACGAAAGCTTTGGGCGTGTCACTTGGATACCCCCCTCCCCTCGGCCCGTAGGTCCGGGCCGCCTCTTCCGCGGCGCTCTTTCTTTGCGACCGACCACTACATTCCACGCGACAGAGTGGGGCAGGCGCGAGGACGGCGAGGGCGCAGAGGACACGCCGGCGTCCTCCAACGACCGACTACGTGCACGCGCGCGGTCCTCGTAGCCTCCGGGCGCCACCGCCCGCCACTCCGACGAACTGTGATAGGCCCGGGTTGACACGTGGTGCAGATAATAGTCGAGTCGTACGAGTGAAAGAAAAAAAAATAACGATAACAAAGTGATCGCGCCGAACGCCCTAGGGCACCTAGAAAAATGTGGCGAAAGCGGCCATAGAATATGAACAGTGTGTTACAGAAATGTTTAGATAACAGAATTCGTATTCAGTCAATTTCATGAGGTGATTTAGATTTTTATTTACTTTTATTACAAAACCTCAAAATATTTTTTAAAAAATCCATAATATTTACAAACAAAAGAAAATACTCGGTCATATGGTGGAGATCATTAGGGCAGTAGTGCCGTAGCGGTCTCGGACCAGAAGACCGGGAGTTCCAGTCCCGCCTCAGGCATGAGTATATTTGTGTATTTATATAATTGTGTGCCGTCCTTTCACTCTTCACTATCACCATCATCTCATCGTCCATACCACTAGGACTAAGAACCTTGTAGGATTCAAATCGGAATTCAGCTAAACTACTGATTTCCCCCAGATCAGGTACTTGCACCTGCTAAAGCAGGATATACGCGTGGTCTATGTGGCCTATACGCGGGGCCCTAATACCCTAATTATGACACAGAAAACGCCAAATTTTACTTATATTTATCAAAAATATTACGTCATTTAATACTGTATAGAGTTTCCAATTGCATTTGTTATTGTCTCCAGTTTTCGCGGCTTGGGTTTGACTAATTCTGTCGAAGTCGCAGGATCAATTAAGCTTCATTTTAAGCATATTTTTGATAGAGTATATTTATGATACTATTTATTAAACATACTGAATTTTCTATATTTGATTCTAAGAGCAGGCCATGTTTGATCTATTGGGTTAAGGAATGTCAAGGAATTGTGGTGTAGGAATTTGTTTTACATTCTCGCCTATTGTACTTCTGTAATTTAATGCTGCAGCGGAAAG